TATATATATATATATATTTATATATAATTATTTGATATGCAAATTTTGAAACAAATATTCTTATGTGTTCATCCTCTGAGTTTATATTCCTTCATATAGTAATAAGTTTGATCGATGTATACCATCAAGCTCTTGAACGTAATGATAATTGATGATATATCAATCTTTACGTAAGAGTGATTTATACTATTGAGAACATACCTCTCACACAAGACAAAATATTTTAAATTTTCTTAAAATATATTATAAGTCTTCAAGTATTACTCTAACATATTATGATTAAAAATTCAAGTCAATAATAAAAAGATATCACTCCTAAATTAAAACATAGTGATATTAATTTCTTAGATGATAAAATATTTGTTATAGACCATATGTTTTTTAAGCTTTTCAATTAGCTTATATCCATAATAATCTTATATAAATAAAGATGGTGTTTTTTCTTTTCTTTTTTTGAAACTTTTGCCCTCTGAGATTTTGTGAAGAAGGAATGCATCATATATTCTATCATATATTCTAATGATTGTAATATTTAAGATTTTAGAAAGAACTTATACCTTCTAAAACATGCATTTTATGATTTCTATAAAGAAAAACTTGTATATTCCAAAGCTAATGAGTCTGAGATTTTTAGAAATAACTCTATCTTATGATGCTGATACCCTATAAGATTTTTGTATGAAATCTATTTATTTATGAGGCTTATGTTATATGAAATTTTTAAGAAAAGCATACACACTCTAACATTGTACCTCTTAAGGCTTATAACATTTAAGATTTTAAGAAGAGTGTTAGCTTTATGAGACATTAAACAATGCTACTTTCAAATATAATTTCAGACATTTTGAGATTTAATATATTGTTGAGCCTTCAAGTGGTGAGCTTAAGGGATATTTAGACAAATAATATTGCTAATATAGCATAAATGGAGGTTTATTATTATTATTATTATTTATGTTTCATGCCGAAGCATTATGCTCATATAGGCATACAACCACACTATTTGTCTAACTTGTAAGCTTTTAAGGTAGAGCTTAAGCACCATTCACATATATACAAACTGATATGATCCATGTAAGCTTAAAATTTAAGAGCTTATTTAGAATCATTTTATATCTTTTATTTATGAAAATTCATCAACTTATATCACCATCAAAAATATTTTATTTCAAATCTAAACACATAAAAGTAAAGCAAAAAATAAATAAATAAGAGAATAATAAAATGTAAGAAGGATATTGCATGCACACCACAATTTTAATGTATTTACTAACACCCAAAATTTGATATTTACACTTTTAATGTCTCGGTGTCATAAACTGAGGGTCCGTTTTGGGCAGTTTATTTGGTGCGGTGGTGTTTTAAAAACACACCTGACCTGTTTGGGTAAACTGCGTTATGACAGCTTATGCATTTTCAAAACGAAAAAAACAACGTTTTCACACCTCACATATCTGACAGTTTATTGACAACGATCTGACTTTTCCAAAAAAATAAAAATTTATAATAATCACCGCACCTATCTTATCAGCAGTCTTATCAGCAGATTATTTTTAATTAATCAACTTATCAGCAAATTATTCAATAAGCTGCAGCTGCCCCAAACGAAATAATTCATTTGATATTTTTGATGCGATGTTAAAGTTTTGAGCGATATGCATGTAAATATGAGAGTTTAGGTGTGTTAGGTATGAAAATACATGATAATTGTTATGCAGATGCCCCAACAAAAAAATTGACCACAAACGACACTAAATGAATCTATTTAACGATTAAACTTGTTTAGACACCATAGCTTTATCCCAAAAACAGAAATATATGTAAAAGCTGCCATAACTTATGAACACTAACTCTAAATATCTACATTTAAAAAAAAATAAGCAGAGAACAATAAAACCATTCAAATAAACTTTACTTCTTGTCCATGCCAAAGAAATATGATTGGCAAGCAAGCTTTTCCCTACATATTAAGCTTCCATGCTTAGACGCTCCTCTCCAATGATCAACCTCGTCAACCAGCTCGGATCTTCGGCAAAGCCTTTGCCGGAAATGAGTATACCGAGCTCGTCGCCAATACGATCGTACTCCCTGAGAGCAGCAGACATCTCTGCTTCGACCAAAGAATCATCTTTGTCCAGTCCGACGAGCAGAGCTTCTCCATAATGATTTTCCTTCTCTGGATCATGTTCAAAAGGATCCATGACAGCACCCTGAAATGGATTTGATAAGCAAAATGTTGATATGAGCAAAAACAAAAACATGTAAAAATACATTTTTATTGTCGAAAGAAAGCAGAGTATTTTTCAATGAAAGATCAGATTCTTATTGCCATTTTTAAAGCTGACAGCAGTCAAACTTTTTAGTAAGAGTCACATGCATGCCACTCAACTTCTATATATTTATATATCTAACATGTAAGCTTCAATTTTTACATACATACGATCTTGCCTATGAATGAAAAGATGTATTTCACTTTTTGAAAAATAAAATGAAGGTATTTTTGATGTGATATGAAAGATTAGGGTGGTCAAAATGTAAAAATCAAAGTTTAGGTGTTAGATATGTAAATTCACGAGCATTGTGTGATATGTATGTAAATACCCCAACTTTTTTATCTTTTAAGTGAGGCTTTATACATACGACAACGCTGATGATCCAGCCACAACACCATGATTGTCGCTGGTGAACGGACGTGTGGACACCGGATATAATAATTTTCCCGAAAGTTGAGCCGTTTAATAGCACATCTAGACAAAGGGACTGACACTGTTCCAGGGCTCCTAGATGATGTTTGGGGGGGGGATGGGTAACAGAGGCAGGAGGAATGATTTCAGCTGAAATCTAGTGTGCATTGCAGCTGGACAGCGAGCGGGCAGTAGACAAACAGCAAGATTCTACTGTCAAACAACACATGGCAGCAGGTTCAGCGATGAAGGAGACCTTCGAACGTCCGGAAGAGATCATCACCTCGATCCAATTAGGTTACCATCATATAGAAATCCAAAGATACAACACCCTAATAAAAAAAACAGAGAGAAAACGTCCTCAATTAAAATAAACTAAGCGTCGGTCAGACCAGTCCCAACAAAACTAATATATAATACCCAAAGCAAATTAAACCTAATTTTAAATAAAATAATATAAAATTTTGGTCCCAACGGTCTGGCGGCCGTAGCAAATTAGCAGAAAAATCCCACTACAGCACGTGCGGGACGCAAAATCCCACACCTTCACATCTCGGGATCGCAAAATCCCACAGATCCCTTGTAAGGGGATCACAAGATCGTGAGATCCTGGATGGGACAGCTCCCAAGTCACCACGTCATGGACCTATGCTGCTCTTGGGTTGCTGCTCAAGGATGTTTAGTTTGAGCTTCATGGATGCCTTATCTCATATCTCATAATTTGAGCAGCTGAAGAAATGTAGAGCAGTCACACAATATGGTTGGTTGGTGAACCAGTAGCTAGAGGAATGTTCATAAATCATGCTTACTTAGTGATGCAGGGCATAATGATCACACGATCATCATTGAACAACCCCAGTTAGTTGAAAAAATCGGAAGAATTAAAAATGAGTTGAGCTTCTCTAGTCAGCGGTAACAACCCCAAGCAAACAAACAAAATCTAAATGAGGGTAAGTAGAAGCAAAATCAGATGGAAAAACCAATTTGTGAGGATTGTGGAAAACTTCATTTTGGGCGGTGCTTGTTTGGTTGAGGAAAATGCTACAAATGTGGACAAACATGACATCATCATATGGATTGTTCGATGTAAAAGAAAAGGAATAGCAGACCACAAACATTTCAAGGATAGGAAAAGCCTAAAAAAGTTTGGAAGGCAGTCAGTTCAACAAGACTCAATTTTTGGGAGAACTTTTAACTCAAGCAAATGGTGAAACTTCATAGCATCGACCGAGCCAACAATGAATGCCAAGAGTTTTTACAATTACCCTTAGGAAACTAAAGAATCTGAAATGATTACAAGTGCATCAGATTCTTTTATTTCTGAAATTTCTTTTTTGCCAACTTATATATTGATGTTGTACACTTTACTCCTGCATTCTGTTATCATGCCCTCGGAAATGATTTTTCTATGCAAAAAGAAAATGTTATGTGGATGTTAATATTTCCGATAGAAAGCTGTTAGTAGAATTAATCATCGTACCAATTCAAACTTTTAATTTTATACTAGGGATGGATTGATTAGTAAAGCATTTTGCTACGATTTAACGTTGGAAAAAGAAAGTGAAGTTTGATTTGTCTAGCGAGAAGTCATTCCATTTTTTCATGTGATAAAATACACCATCTTTTTTGATTAGTACAGTGAAAATGGGGAAGTTTATGTAAAGTGGTAAACTAATAATTTTAGCCAAATTAAAAGTATTAAATAAAGATGACTGCAAATTAAAAACATCCCAGTTATTGTAGAATTTCTTGAAGTATTGCCAAAGGAATTGTCAGGGTTACTAATAGAAAGAGAAGTTGAGTTTGGTATTGATTTGCAGCTACGAACATCTGCAATTTTCAATTCTCTTTATAGAATGACTAAAGAAATTACAGGAACTGAATGTCAAATGTAGCAATTGATGGATAAAGGCCTTACTAGGTCAATCAACTCTTAGTGGAGTGCTCATATATTGTTTGTCATGAGGGAAGGCGGAATTATGCGATTATGTATTGCTCCTAAAGAGCTGAATAAGGTGACAATCAAGAATAATAATCCATTGCCAAAGTTGATGATTTATTTAATCAATTAGAGGGCACTGCTGTATTTTTCAGGATCAATCTGAGATCAAGATATTGTCGGACTAGAATCAAGAAAGCAAATGTAACCAAGACAACTTTTGGGACTAGATATAGTCTTTGTGAATTCTTAGTTATGCCTTTTAGTTTAACAAATACCTCTACAATTTTTATGGTTCTGATGAAAAGAATATTAAAGACTTATGTGGATCGGTTTGTCATTATTTTCATTCATGATATTTTAATATACTCAAAATTTGATGATGATCCTGCTAAGCATCTGAGAATAGTCTTAGATTTGTTTTGGTAGAATCAACTATTTGCAAAACTTTTTAAATGTAAATTTTGGTTGCAGAGTATTACATTGTTGGGCATATTATTAGTGGGCAAGAAATCTCAATAAATGCTCAGAAAGAGAAGGAGATTGTGGAATGACTTAAACCTAAAAAAAATTATAAGGGAATGCAATTTTCTTGAGTGAGCTGGATATTACATGTTGTATGTTAAAAAAAATTGACAAATAACAATGTGGTTGTCCAAGCTGATGATAAAAGATATTAAAGTTGAGTGGACTGAAGAATACGAGTATAGTTTTTAAGAATTAAAAAAGCATTTGACTACTACACTAGTATTGGCCATTACATCAGGATCAGAGAAATTTCAGATTTACAACGACACATCATTGAGAGGTATGGGATCAGTATTAATGCAAAACAACAAAAAAGTAATAGCTTGTGCATCAAGACAATTGAAGCCACATGAGAGGAATTATTCGACTCACAATTTGAAGTTGGTTGCTGTAGTTTTTGCTCTCAAGATCTTGAGACATAATCTGTATGGTGTGAAGTGTGAGTTATTCATTGATCATCAGAGTTTTAAATATATTTTCACATAAAAAGAACTAATTTAAGACAGAGAAGATGACTAAAGCTTATTAAAGACTATGATCTTGATAAAGAATATTCTTTTGGTCAAACAGATATAGTTGTTGATGATTTGAGTTGTAAATCTACATGTAGCGCAAGTTGAATTATTATTGAGAAACAAGAATTGATCAAAGAAATTGATGTTTTCTAGTTGGGGCTCATAAGACCAAGAGATGTTGGGTATTTGCATTAGTTAATTGTGCAACCAACTTTAATTGACAATATTAAGGCAACCCAAAAAGTTAGCAACAAATATTAGAAACTCATTGAACAACTAGAGTCAAAAAAGAAGCCATAAATGAGTACATGACTATAGATGAAGATGGTGTTAACAAAAATATATTGCAGTTTTGGGTACCTGCTGATCCTAATTTGAGGAAAAAAATCATACATAAAGCTCATCATTCAGGATACACAATTCATCAAAGCAACACCAAAACATGCAAAGTTTTGAAATTGAAGTTTTGGTGGCTAGATATGAAGAAAGATAAACCAGAGTATGGGTCTAAGTGTCAAATTTGTCAGATTGTCAAGGCTGAGCATTAGAGACCCAATTAATTGCAACAATCAATTGTCTATACCATAATGAAAGTGGGAATAAATCGCAATGTATTTTGTTATGGAATTTCCAAGATCCAGACAAGATTGTGATAGCATTTAGATGATCATTGACATGTTAAAAAAGTCATCTCATTTCTTGCTAATTAAGCAGATAAACTTAGTAGAAATTTTGGCCAGATTATATGTAAAGGAAGTTATTAGACTTCACAGTGTTCCAAAGATTATAGTCCTAGATGGAGATGAAAGATTCATAACCAGGATGTGAAAATGTATTTAGGTACACATTTACATTTTAACACAATATTTCATCTATAAACCGACAAACAAGAGAAAAATTTAGGTAGTAGAAGATTCATTGAGGCTTTATAACCATGACATTGGAGATAATTTGGGAAGATCATATTTCGATGATCGAATTCACTTACAATATTAGTTATCAATACGATATTAACATGGCCCCCTATGAAGCAACTATATAACAGGAAGTGTAAAATTTCATTAAGTTGGGTTGAGATGAGAGAAAGTCAATTGTTAGGAACTAAAATGGTGGATAAAGTTACAGAAAAAATCAAATAAATTAGAGAGATTGAGAGCTGCTCAAAAATCGAAAAAAGATATATTATGACCCAAAATACAGAAAAGTAAAGTTTGAAGTTGGTGATTTTTTGTTTTTAAAAGTCAGGCCAATGAAAGATACAATGAAATTTGATCAAGAAAGCAAATTGAGCTATATGTATTGAAGAGCCTAAGACTATAAAGATATAGAAATGCAAAAAGATTTAATATTTATTGAAGAGCCTGAGACTACTTTAGAAACAATTGTTCAGTAATTAAGAAATACACAAATTCCTTATGTTACGATAAAATGGAGGCACATACCTGATAAAGAAGCTACTTGAGAAAGAAAACAAGAAATACGAAAATAATTCTCCTTTCTATTTGAATAAAAAATTCAAAAATTTCGAAGACAATTTTTATAAGGAAGGAAGTATTGCAATTAAATACTTAATCTATCCTCCTAAACCCACAACACTGTAAAATTCCACTTTACGCGACATCCAACGGCAGGATGGAGTTTTAATAGCAGAGATTAATTGAAAGGTGTGATTGTGTGTGTGTGTGTATTATTATTATTATTATTATTATTATTTTGATCAGCCCGATGGCGTCGTCTTCCTCGCTCGGCTTTGCTAGGGTTTTGCCCGATGGCGAACCCTAGCAACAGTTACGGTCGCTCTTTCCTCTCGCGTCTTCGTGCTCGATTCGTTCGTCTCCCCCGCTGCTTCCTCGCTCTGAGACGAGGCTCGTCTCCAGTCTTCCGGTCTCGCGAGCTTTCCTGGCTCGGAATTTTCCAGGCTCTGCGGCTCCTTTGCGGCCTGCCCGATCGCGTGTTCTACGGCTCAGTCTCTCGGGTACCGCTCGTGATCTCTGCGTCCTCTGCGCTCGTCCTGTCTCACAGCGTCTATTTTGATGCCAGTTTTTCCCTTGTTTGCTTTCTTCTCTGAAGTCTGAACGTCGCACCTTTCTTTGAGGATGACTTCGGACAAATCATATGCAGTTGCCCTCGCCGGTGTCCAAGCCTCAGGCACACCAAAATCGTCATCTTTCCCTCCGTCGTTTGAGTGGGCGGAGGACATCAAAAACCTGATAGGAAGAATGAAAAGTCTGCCATCTTTTTTACAGAAGCCGAAGGTATTCAACTTGCTTCCTCCTGTCGTCTGAATTTAGTTGGGAAATTTCTATATGGACATCCCAAAATAGAGCTCATTCGCAAAAAAAAATTGAACTTATGCACCTTGTTGGAGAATAAAAAATTGGACTATTAGATGAGAGACACATTCTTATTCAAATTAGTAATGAAGATGATTACATGCACTTATTTGCTAGAAAGATAATATAGATTGATAACAGAGCAATGAAGATTCCGAAATGGTCTGTGGATTTTGAGCCACAGACGAAACCACCAATCATTCTAGTTTGGATTCATCTCTCTGGTCTGAAATTTCATTATTTTTCTCAAAAAGTACTGTACTCTATTGCCTCAGCTTATGGGAAGCTACTCAAAACGGACATTCATACTTTTAATCTGTCCCGTCCTTCTGAAGCCAGAGTATTTGTTGAAAGAGTCATCACTTCACCTGCTTCTGAGGAAATCTGGCTGAACACACAACACCATGGATATTGGCAGAAGGTAGAGATTGAACATTTTCTATCCTATTGTTCAAACTGTAGTATGTTCAGACCCTCCATCTCTCAATGTCACCATCTACACCCCCAACTAAGACCAAAAAAGCAAACTGCTCCGCTAGAGATTCTGACTCCATCTCCTCCCATCAGCTCCCAATTTTTGATACTATTGATCATCAGAATGATATCCCAGATGACATCACTATCCATGCATGCAATATGACAACTATTCAGTCCCCATTTGTAGTTCCCTCATCTTTGGAACCTCCTATCGTGGGGGAGAGAGTTTCTTCAGACCCCGCCTGCCCTAGAACCTATCACTGATAATACAGGTGGAAATACTTCTATTATTTCACTACTGTCTCATCAGGTCCAGAAAGATGTTAATATTACTCAAGCCCATGGGGATCAAAACGTGCAACGACCTACACTTGTCCGACCACCTTTGGAATCTACTGATCAGATAAGTCAATCATTGGATAAGGAATAACATGTCTACACATCCAGGAGGAAGAAGAAGAATGACGATCTACTTGAGCTCATGAATATGATGGATGATACTTTGGTTACTACAGGCAATGGTGTTCACCTTACTGATTTGTTAGCCGACTCACTTCCGAGAACTAGAGACAGGAGGACTAAAGTGGGACGTCCTTAGCACGTTTTGTGTCATTTTGTGGCTTTTTGATTTTTTACATTTATGTATCTTTATTTTATCTGAGTTTTGTGTGTGTTGTATTGTATGAGTTGGACTTTCTTTTAGGTCCTCATATAACATTTCTGTATCTTTTCTGTATTAATATATTTGCATTGCTTACAATCAAGCTTTAACTTCTTATATGTCAGATCCTCACAATCTGTTCAGCATCTGAACGTTATGCAACAAGATTTAATATATATTGAAGAGTCTGGCACAATTTTAGATATAAGTGTTAAGAAATTAAGAAATAGACAGATTTCTTATGTTAAGATAAAATAAAAGCACATACCTAATAAAGAAACTACTTGGAAAAGAAAACAAGAAATACGACAAAAAGCCTCTTTACTATTTAAATAAAATATTAAAAAATTGAGAACATTTTTATAAAGAGAGGTGTATTGTAATTAAATAATTAATCTATCCTAATTAACATTTGTAATCCCGCAATACTATAGCATCCCACTTTTGACGACATACAACGGCAGGATGGGTTTTTGATGGCTAAGATTAATCGTCACGTAAATAAATTTTTAAGAGGCCTCGTGTTCTCCTACTCCCCCTCTCTCGAAACTCCTCCCCACAAGATCTCTGTCGGCGTACTGTAGCGGAGCGGAGAAGGCGCAAACGACAGTGAACTAGAACTCGCAATTTGGAGTTCTAGGAAGATACTGACAAATGATAATCCTCATTTCTTTGCAATGTGAAATATTTCTTTCTTTCCTTCCAATTTTTTCTACGATTTGCGATGAACTGGAGCATTTTTGTGATCTTAGTTACTATAGCGGAAGGCGGAAGCATGACCTAAATCTGCGTAACTTTTTATATTTTATTTTTGCTCTCGGGTAGGGCTATTAGCGAGAAATAAGAGGACAAAAAAAGGAGAGCGAGAAGAGAATATGAAGAAATTGGGCAGAGGAAGTAATGCGAGAAAATAATACGAAGATAAGAAATAAAGTTGAATAGTATTGTGGTGAAGACTCAAGCTAAGAATTTCATGAAATCCTACACAAGTATTATATGCATGATATCAGAGTTAATACAAATCACAACTGAAATGTAAATATTATGGCTAAAATTCAGAGAGGATACAACAAAGACTCGTAAACTGGAACAAAATGACATAAACGAACGACACCCTAGGGTGAGGATGAAAAGGTAGTGGGCATCAGCTGAGCAACAGATAGGTCGGCTCGTTAAGGTGTGGCAGCAAATAATAGAAGCTGGAGGGGTAGAGGCAACAAAATGAAAGCTGGAGGGGAGTTACAGCAAAAAGCGGGAAGGTTGGAGGGGGTTACAATAGTGTCGGCACTATTTTTGGTTAAGGAGTTGCCCGTTGGAAGCTATCGATCGTCGGAATCGAAATCCCGTCACCCGCTTCGGAAGGACGTTTTTAATTTACATATATGTATAGTTTTAGAAAATATGAAATCAAACTGATCCCATATTTTTCATAGTTTA